AAGAGATGGGGGCAGATCCACCGCAGACCAGTGTCTGGCAGTGAGAAACTGTTCCCCGGGGCCTATGGCAAGAATGTGGGCACTTTCTTAGCAAGAGAAAGCTTCTGGCGGACATTGTTTTTCCTTTTTCTTTTTTAATTTTTACAGCCAAGTTCCATCTAATCTTGACAAAGTAGATTATTACAATACCAAGATTTTGACATACGCAGCAAAAAGAAAATTGTAGTTTATTCTTTGGGCTATCAACTCCAAAATGTTTAAAGAAAATATTCATGAAATTAAATAGTGCTTCAAAAGAATAACATCGTGGCTGACCAGCTTCTATCCTCGATATGGCCGAAAATCATACAATCGGCACATTACCAGGAAATAACTTTCAACTCCAGCACTTGAAACAAGTATATGGAAAAACGATACATAAATAGAAAAGAGAAAGAGTATTCTGGAGGCCTTTCTAAGGAGGGCTGCTACTTCGCACAACAGATTGTTTATCCTGGTGGTCTTTTAATTAAACTGGCATGGGGGTGGAGGGGGTTGGGCCCAGGACTTCTGGTCATCACCAGCAGAGAAGCAATTGATGCTGGAGGCAGCCTTTCCTAGGAGAAGATTGAATCCTAAACAGAAAACCAAAGCAGCTCTCTGATCCTTTGGGGATGTAATTTGATCTTGATATTTAAAGGATTGAGGCCCCACAGGTTTCAAAGATCAGAAAGCTTACTCCCTTTCAGTCCCCCTCCCCTCCGTTAAACATGAATCAACCAGAAAGAAAAAGAATTATGGAGATGAGAAGAGAGCTTAAGGCCTGGGTTCTAACCCTTGGTCTCTTGGTTCTATAGGCAGTTCTGGGGCCTTGGGCAAATTACCACACCTCTCTGAACCAAAATGTTCTTAACTGAAAAATGGTGACTTGTTTGAGAAACAGGCTGACTGATGTAAAGTTCCTTGACGGAAACCATGAAATGTGATTTGAGGAGCATTCGTTTACCAGTTCATACCTTGCTAGTTGCAACCAGCATATCCCCAAGTGAAGTGCTCCTGGGTAAACATCCCCTAGATGAGCCCCGCAATGCAGGTTTCTTCTGGGATTCAAGTTCATGCAAAAGAAAAAAAGAAAAGGACATTTGAGAGAGTAATACGTCCATTATAACTGCCGAAATAGGCTGCTGTAATAAGGGCCATTTAATAAAATGTAAAAAGCCCTTTTCTAAGGGAAGAGATGGGTCAGGATGGAAGTCAAGTGCAGCTGTTTGAGCCTCTGCCAGTGGTCTGATCTCATCAGAAAAACTGGAGTTAAAAAAACAACAAACTTCCAGATTCATCAATCGCAGATTAACACTGTCTCCCCTCAGGGCTGCTGCCCCCTTCCCAACCTCCCCTCCGTTCTGTTCATCCTAACTCTGGGCACCTGGGTGCCTTCCAGCGTGGTTGAGATGTTAGCCGGCAGCCCTGGCGACAGGAGGAGCCCTGGGAAGGCAGCAGCTACCTCTCGGGTTTAGCATTACGTCATTCCTTCAGACCCAAATTTATCTCTGCACACAGCCCCGCAGCAGCTCCGAGCTGCTGATGACTTGTGGAGAGCTTGCGCATGAAGTTAGGCAAGGCTGACTCACTGGGCAGAGCGAAAGCTTGCTGCTGCTGCTGCTGCTGCTCTTAGTGTTTCTGGGGGAGGAATTGGGGCGGGGAGGAGGTGTTCGTCATTTGGGGGTTAGGGGGTTGGAAAGATGTGTTGTGTTATTTATGGTTCTCAATTTTAGGACCTCAAAGCTTACCCCTCCCTTAGTCTCCCACCCCCACCAACTGGATTATTTGAAAGCCCTCATCCTTAATGGTAATTATAGCACCTTCAGGGTACCACGTTGTAGATTCAGGGATGGTCTCCCAAGCACCAGGTGTCACCAAGACAATGACTTTGGATTTATGACCTCACTTCATGGACCTCCCCCCCCCCACCTCCTCCATCTCTCCTGACTGACCTGTAACACATCAGCCTCTACAGTTAGGATTTTTGCCATAAACCACTTGGGGATTTGCATGAAGTAAACTGGGGGAGGGGGAGGGAAGGAATGGGAAAGGAGGTGGTGGGACCTGTTCAACCTCAGAGCTTTGCTTCTTCCGAAGGCAGATAGTCTCCATCCAGGCTGTGCTTGTTGTAGAGTTGGGAGACTCTGAGGGGCGTTTTAAATGTTCAAATGAGACACACACCCCCAGACGGAAAGAGATACTTCAGGGACAGGATGGAACTGTCTAGGTAAGAGTCCAAGGTTCTTCTATCAGTAGACTTCGGAAGCTTTGCTCTTCCGGTTTGCCCAACTCCATCTGTAGGGCATACTGGCTTCATCTGAGCTTGCAGCAAAGCCATGGCTGAGCCTGTTTTCCCCCAGGTGAGGCTGGTGTGATTAGCATCACTCTGGAGAAGATGAAACCCTATGCTTGGGGCTGTGGGAAGCACCGGTGGCCTATGCTCAAGACTTTCAGGCCAGAGCAAGAAGGAAGTGAAGCCTCTGTGAATGCTAGAAAAGGCTGGAGATTTCAGTTCCTAAACGAACCCTCATGACTGCCCACGGACACCATCATCTTTCCTCTTCTTCCGCACGTGCAAGTGGCCTTTTGTGACTCTCGTGATGTTTCCTGTCTCATCTGCTTGTTGATCATGGCTCTAGGCTAACTCACCTAGAGTCACCTGTGACAAGCCAGACACAGACTCCATACACCTCTCTAGCTTTCTCTTAACTAACCTGCTAACTCTGTGACCTCATCTGTGGGATGAAACCCATCTTGAATTCTTCCATGTTTTCAGGCTGTACTTTTCTTGATTACATGCCCCCTAGGATTGGAAACTTTCAACCTAATCATTTTTATCCTCAGCTAACAGATGTTCTGAGTGAATGGCGTTTTCTTTGAAATAATTTCTTCTTAACATATCCTTTGCTCAGGATGCAGGATGGTTGTATTACCTAATGGGAAAGCCCAGATTAGAAATGGCCTAGCCAAAAAAATAAAGGCCTAGCCGACAGCTGAAAAAGCACAATCTCTTCTTCAGAGCCTTTCTAAAACAAATTCTTAGGTGGCTTGTGAACACCTCTTCTTTCCGGTGTCTCTAAATTTGATGGAACATCTATTTCTTAAGTATTTTTAAAGACTGGCAAAATTTTGCAGCTTGTGACCTCATTAGAGATCTTGTTCATTTTGGAAAAAAAAAAAGTGCAAGGGGAAAGGAAGAGGTTATTCAAGTCAGCATGGAACACGTAGCATTTTTGAGAGAGTAAGCTATCCATCCCAAGATGGTATTTGCTGTAGTAGTCACTGGAATGACCATGGGGAAAGGAAAATTTTTCCCTCACTAAGAGCTTCCTGTTATTTTGGATGTCAACCAGCAGGTTAAAATAATCAGAGCGGGAAGACTTGGTAGATTTGTTTACATCATTCCTAGCTTGCTCCTGCAGCACGAAGCAGTTCTAGCTCTCTTGTCCTTTCTCTCCCTAGAGTTGTTCTCAACTGGGGGTGGTTTTGTGCCTCCAGGGACATGTGGCAACGTCTGCAGGCATTTTCAGTTGTCATGCCTGTTGGGTGGTGGTGTGCTAGTGGCATCTAGTGGGTAGAGGCCAGGGATGCGGCTAAACAGTCCACAATGCTCAGAAGAAACTCCCCATGCCAACAAGGAATTATCTGACTCCAAATGGCAATAATATCAAGGTTGAGAAATCCTGGGCTGGACTTTGATGACTTGTTAGATGGAGGATTTGGAGGAGGTAGTGGCTGCTGCTTAATGTGCTCTCTTTCTCTAGCCTTGGCTGTCAGTTACCTTTTTAGGGAGGCAAGTATAGGAGGAAGCAATCACAGTTGCTACTATTTATTGAGTGCTTGCTGTGTACTATTGGAATTATTTCATTTAATCTTCACAATAAGTCCTATTGATGATACATGCTCCCCGAGAGCAGGTTCCTTGGAGTCTGCTCTCTCATTACTGTGCACATTAAGTCTGCATCAGTGCCTGACTCACTGCAGGTCCTCAGCACTATGGATAAATGGAAGAATTATATTCATTTTGTACATGAGGAAAATGAGGCTTGAAGAGTCCATACATCCAATTTAAGTAGCAGAGTCCAGATTTGACCAGAATTAGGGTAATGCCAGTCCCCAAATCCCTTACAGTCTGACTGATATACTGATATACCCTTTCCAGAGTGGTCTTCCTGTTGTCTAAAAGCACAATCAGAGATTGTTGGGGGAGGGGAGAGTAAACAATTTTTTTAATAGAAGCCCTTTTGGGTTCTGATTTAAATAATTTCTTTTTGGTTTTTTTTTTTTTTTTTGGTTGGTTGTGGAGCCTGAACTCTGGGCCTGGGTGCTGTCCCTCAGCTTTTCAGCTCAAGAGCCACAGCGCCACTTCCGGGTTTTTCTGCTTATGTGGTGCTGAGGAATCGAACCCAGGGCCTCATGCATGCAAGGCAAGCGCTCTACCACTGAGCCACCTTCCCAGCCCCTGATTTAAATAATTTCTAAGCAGTACTTTTTGGCTTATCAAGTGATTCTGGGAGTACCGTCCTTGCAACTGTGCTATTTTTTTCATTTTGCAGATGAAAAAACCGAGGCACAGTAGTTACATGAAAATATAGTGGTAGAGGGATGACTGGAACATGGCAGTTTGCATGATGAATGTTCCAGTCCCTGGGAAGCTGTGGGACGTGCGGAAAAATAAGCCACTTCGAGTATAGATTCAACTCAATTACATCCTTCTCTCTCTAAGCCCTGGCCAACTTCTTTTTTTCCTCTCCTGGAGGGTGATAAGCCGCGACAAACTACATCTCCCAGCAGCCATCGCCGAATCGTGAGGCGCAGGCGCGCTCTATAGTGCACTACGTACTCCCGTACTACGATTCCCGGCGTGCAGTGGGAGGGGGGCGGGACTGCGTTTCCCAGGGGGCAGAGAAGGAGGCGGAGCGACCCGCGTCGCTGCTCCCGCCCCACCCCCGTGCTCGCGCCGAGAGGTAAACAAACCGCGCGCGTGCTGCAGGCGGCGCGGCGGGCGCGGCGGGCGCGGCGGAGGCGGCAGGGTCGGCGGAGAGCGCGCCGAGCCGCGGCCGGGCTGGCCCGCCCGCCCGCCGCACACGTCTAGGGGTGGCGTGAGGCGGGGTAGCCGTCTGTGGCGCCTCCTGTTGGCCAGGGGCGGGAGCGCGGTGAGCTCCGGTCTCCCCCCGCGGTGCCCATGGAGCGGGTGCGGATGATCAACGTGCAGCGCCTGCTGGAGGCCGCCGAGTTTCTGGAGCGCCGGGAGCGAGGTAACGGCTGGGCGCCGCTGCCTGAGCCCGTGGGCTTTTGCTCCGCGTGGAGAGTGCGGTGCGGCTGCTGAGGAGAGGTGCGCGAGTGTGCGGGTGGAAGTGCGTGCGCTGCTGAGGAGGAGGGCGGGGGGCGGGGGGGCGTGCGCACGAGTGACAGGCGGAGCGAGCAGGGGCGCGCGCGCGGGCAGTGCGCGTGCACGAGAGCCCGGCGGGGGTGCGCGCACGGGCGGCCAGGGCGCGTGCACGAGACGGGGAGGGGGGAGTGCGCTCACGAGACAGGCGGGCGCGCGTGCGCGCAGATGTGAAAGAATGTGAGCAAGAGTGACAGGTGGGCACAGGGAGGGAGTGCGCGTGTGAGGGCACACGTGTGAGCCTGCGTGTGTGGATGAGTGCGCGGGGAGGCGTGCGGGCCCGTGCGCGTGCTCGGGGGCGGGAACTTGTGGATCGGAGTGGGGCCGGGCTGGGGTACGGGGCACAGGATGAACCCGGAGTGGGGTTAGGGGGGCAGCGTGGCGGGGAGGGGCCGAGCTGTGTGGGGCCTGTGAGAGTGGGAGCCAGCTGTCAGCGGGACCCCCTGTCCTGGTGCTGTGGGAGATGTGGAGATGGAGACCAAAGGAGAAATGGATTGGGGTGCTGGGCACCAAGACCAGAAAAGTGGTGTCCGGAGAGAAAAATGACCAAGACTTGGCGATTGAAGTATTTGGAGTTACACAAACATGAAACTAAACAGGCACTAGAGAATGAAAACCGTTCAGGGAAAAGAGGAGTTGGGGGACCACCACACTCAGAAATTAAGAGTGCTTCAATCCAAAAGACTTCCTGGAGAAAAAGAGAAGTTATTTGGTTTAGAAGGTGTCAATACACTCTCTAGGTAATGGGTTGGGTTCCCTGGGATATATGGGGAGGTGTGTGTGCTGGCTGACCTTGAATCCAGAAGTTTCTTGCTTCTCCATCCAAAATGCTGGTGTTCACCACCATGTCCAGCTAGAAATGGGAATATTTTTTGACCACAAAGTAGAGATATTTTGCCTCGATTCCTATTTTCAGGAACCTGTTAGACCTTCGATTTATGGAACTGGAGATATGAATTTCTCTATTCACACCTTTTTTCCCCTCTTGCTCTTTTTAGAGTGTGAACATGGCTACGCCTCATCATTCCCCTCCATGCCAAGCCCCCGACTACAGCATTCAAAGCCCCCACGGAGGTTGAGCCGGGCACAGAAACACAGCCCTGGGAGCAGCAATACCAGCACTGCCAACAGGTAGTAAACTGGGAGGGTTAGAAAGGAGGACAAGAGGGAAGGAGCTAGACTTGGAGGTGTTGGTCCTGCTGGACTCCTGTTTTCCCAAGTCTGGAGCAACACAAAATGAATGTCTTCACCACCCTGGCATTGACCCTTTTAAAACATTAAGGTCTAGGAATCACAGCCTGACTTCATGTGGAAGGAAAGGAACAAATTTGGAAAGGCAAACTATGGTTCTCACTGAGACTGTTAAGATCAGATGTTTATGACTGAGCAGACAGGAGACTTAATAGCATGTATCCACACATGTAGCCATATACTAAAGGTAATCTTGGACCAGTTTTTCTCTTCTTTCCAAATTTAATATGATCCAAGAAAAATTTTAAATCTAAAATAGCTCTGGTGATACATATATAGATGTATGTATGTGTGTGTGTGTGTGTATACATACATACATACATACATATATATATATATATATATATATATATATATATCTCCAAGGTCTTTGTTAGAGGAATAGAAATATTTAGGTAAAATAGGAAGATAGTGATCCTGATCTATTTTTTAAGGAAAAGAGGAAGACTGTGTTTTTCATCTTGTGAATCATAATCTGAGTTGATAAGGGAAGGGGTTTTAAAGCAAAAAGGAAAAGAAAAAAGATGCTTGTCCTTCAACCAGAACAGATAATACTTTTTTTCCAAATAGATTTCTTTAGCATATGCTTGTCTATGTGTACTGAGACATAATCGACCTCCACTTTTGAAAATTTTTTTGTGGCATCTGGCTGTATTTTGTTCCAGGAAGCTATGAATCCCAAGGTGTCTTGTCATGAAGTTTTCAAAGGTCCTTTCCTAAAAGAGGACCAGAAGATGCTGCCTTTCCCATTGATATGAAGAAATTAAAGGGGACTTTGTTCCTGATTCCTTAAACTTTATCTAGGAATGATTCACTTGGAGGGTGGGCTGTCCTAAAGGCATTGGGTAGGCCTCTGGGGAGTCAGGGTAGGGACTGAGCAGCAGGGAGCTCTTGATGCAGAAAATAACTAGAGATTCCCATAGACATCAATTGTAGTTTGCTCATGAGATGGAAATTCTGTTCTGCATTTCAGACCTCACTGAGGCAAGGATTAAGTCTTCTTCCTTTGATTTGCCTATAGAACAGCATGATGCCTTTTTGTCTCTTCTTAAACTATTATGCCTTTCAAGCTTAAAAAAATTTGTGCCTGTCCTGGGGCTTGAGGGCCTGGACACTGTCTTTAAGCTTTTTTGCTACAGGCTAGCACTCTACCACTTGAGCCACAGCTCCACTTACATCTTTTTTGGTGGCTAATTGGAGGTAAGAGTCTCATGGACTTTCCTGCCTGGACTAGCTTTGAACCACAATCCTCAGATCTCAGCCTCTTGAGTAGCTACCATTACTGGCATAAGCCACTCATACCTTGCTTAAACTTAAAATTTTAAATTATAAAATTAACCTAAGTTTAATGTATTTATGTATTTGGGTGAATTTATGTGATTTGTTGTAGAGAGGGATGCTTAAGATGACAATATGGTATAATATACAACATTTAAAGACATAAATTTGTTAGCCCCTATAGTTTCTCTGGCTATATAATGAGAAATTATGGGCCTCTTTAGGAATTTTACTTCAGTCTACACATAGATTAAAACAAAAACTTGTTTTCAAAACTTGGAGATGTAGAAAGAGTACCATTTAGGAAATGGAACCTGAATTGTGTCATACTGTAATTTCTATTTTCTAGAAACCAAGCGTATGACCACGTGACACTTCTCTTCATCCCTTATTGTTTTCATCTGTGATAGAAGATGATGTATGAAGTCCTCACCAAGGCTCCTTATTCCGCTGGAGTTCTAAGACTCTGATAGTTTTCATTAATTATTAGAATTCAGTTTTACCTCTCTGTCATTGAATGTATAGCATTTTTTACTAACAGCTGAAGGATTAGAGGCATAAGTAAGACATACATTTCTAGAGTTTGCAAAGTACATAATGGGTCATTAATAGGGCAATCTTTGTCATCCCTTATTCTTAACACAGACTCTGCTTAGGGTTTTGACTAATGTTTTCTTTCATGGTAATGTACCTGTTAAGATTCTACTATATTGTGTGAGACCACAGTTCTGACCACTGTGATTTAGCACAGCATGTGAGAAACTTAGTAAAATCATACACATATTTTCTGACAGTGCCTGAGGGAACTCAGACCTTGCACCACCTAAAACTGAGGAAGGAAATTTCTAATGGGGATTTAAGCTTCAAGCAAAGAAGAGGGAAAGAAATCTATTTTAGAATATATTAAGGTAGATCTATTTATGTGTGAGGTTTAGGCTAGGGCTTATGAAAGAGAACTAGTATATTAAACTGAAACACTAGAAATAATTTTTCCTTAACTAATTTATTTAAAATTTGTGTTTTATGAAGAGGAGTGAAACATGAAAATCTAATAGCAGAGTATTTGGGAAATAGTTTATTTCTTTTTATTTATTGTTGTTCCCATGAGTTATATTGGGCCGCCTTTAATGAAACAGGTTTTCTTCTACCTCAAGGTCTTTTTGTGTCCCCTGTTCCCTGTTGGCAGTCAGTCTTCCTCTCCCTCCTTTGCCCAGTTATCTCTAATAGCAGTCTTCCTCAACAGGCCATCACCTACTTGGGGAAGTCGTTCTTCATCCACTGGAATGGATCAGATCCTTACAGACTTGACAGTGTTCATCATGTTTGCACAAATAGTTGTCTTTTTAAAAAAGAAGAAGTATAGGCCTCTCAGGAGAGTGAGCAGTGGAACCCAGAACCTGTTGTCCCACATTAGTTGTCTTGACTGTTTCTTTAAAATTTGTGGCCAATTTGTTGTACTAAAACCTTCTCTGAGATGAGGATCCAATCTCTTTTGCTTTATTCTGCAGTGACAGTTATCTCCACTACCAATCACTGTGCTCTGTGCAGTGGTGTTTCTCAAAGAATGAAAAAATTTCAACTTTAGGTAGACTTACCTGCAATGGAAATTCAGAGCTTTTATTTTTTGTTGATTATTATTTTTTTGTGCCAAATACCATATTAGGCTAGAAGGAAAAATGATAGAAGAAAATACAACTTCTGCTTTGGCAAACTCTTCTATTTTGTGTTTTAAGGGGTGTTAATGACACTATGTTTGCAAAGGAAAACAATACATAATACCTCAAGAATAAAATCTTGGCTAGGAATGCAACTTAGTGGTACAGTGACTGTCTATCATGCATGAAACCCTGGTTTCAATTCTTCAGTACCACATAAACAGAAAAAGCCAAAAGTGGTGCTGTGGCTCAAGTGGAAGAATGCTTTCCTTGAGCAAAAGAAGCTCAAAGACAGTTCCTAGGCCCTGAGTTCAAGCCCCACTACTGGCAAAAATAAATAAACACTCCAAATTGCCTTTTTTTTTTTTTTGAGATAGGATCTCATTCAACATCGCAATTCTCCTGCCACCTGGGATTACAGGTGTGCCCATTCTTTAACTATACTATAGTAAAATAGCAGAATGCTGTACTTTATTTGAAAGAACACTCACTGTTTCCCATGTTGTGGAAATCAAAAGCTTGTCAATTTTGGCAGTAAATGTTGGTCTGAGCCTGTGCCATATACATAGTAGTTGCATTGTTTTAAGGTGACCTAAAAAGAATAGGTAACGAACTTATGCTTGAATTTCAACTTGTTGTACACAGTGATTTCTTCTCTTTAGTCTCCTGTGACTATTAAAGGCTCTTGCCACATCAGCAGTGTTTCAGTTCCACCTGCTAGATCAAGAATGTTTAAAAACAAAACTTTCCTCCTGCTTTGGTTTAACTTTTTAATTTTTAAAAACTTTATTACTTTCTGAACTTCAAAATGTGTACAAGGGGGTTACAATTGAACATGTTCATCAGTGTCCAGTGCTCTGTTCATCCTTCTCCTTATTCCATCTCTTCCCATTTCCCACTGTATCACATATGCACCTTGAGTATTCTTGCTATATTTGTCTCCTTTTTCTTAGATCCACTCCACCTTCCCCAAACCATAGAATAAAGACATTTTATTTTAGAAGGAGTGATTGTATCATTGTATTTTCAGCTTTATAGCCCTTCTTCTCAGTCTTTATGGATTTTTAAGGTTAAGGAGGAGAGGAAGAGAGTGGTAAGTTATTTTTCAAGGATAATTTTAGAGAATTTTTCCCAGTGGAAATTATTTCAGATGTGTTCTCTACCCTTTTTTTTTTTTGTCGTGGGGCTTCAACTCTGGGCTTGAGCGCTGTCCCTGTGCTCTTCAGCTCAAAGGCGAGCGCTCTAACACTTGAGCCATAGTGCCACTTCCAGTTTTCTGGTGGTTTGTTGGAGATAAGAGTCTCAGGGACTTTCCTGCCCAGACTGGCTTTGAACTGCGATCCTTGGATCTCAGCCTCCTGAGTAGCTAGGATTACAGATGTGAGCCACCGAAGCCTGGCATTCTCTACCATTTTTATTCTTAAACATGTACTTGTTCGTTCAGAGAAGAACTGAATGAAGACTTGTTTTTGTGAATCTTTTTTTTCTTAGGTTTTTCTATATTAAAATCTTTATTCAATTAAAAAACGTAAAGTTTCAGGACAAAAAAAAGGAGATTAGTAGCAGTTAAAGTCTTAATGGCTATAATATTGTTGAAGGTGGACACAGCCTCTGAGATGTGTTTCTTTGACCATAAATGAGTTAAATGAATAATTTTCAAGAAAAAAAAATCTCACACTAAACTGACTCAGGCTTTCTATTAAATACTTCGTTGAAGCATGAGTTGCCTGTTGCTGGTTTACTTGTGGACATACCCCTCCCCTGAAGTATAGCCTTTTAAGTCAGAAAGACAGCTGCTTCTCTTAGTATTCGATGAGAGGCTTTTTTTTGCGGGGGGGGGGGAGGTCAAATACTGAATGGATGGTATTCGATGAGAGGCTTTTTTTGCGGGGGGAGGGAGGTCAAATACTGAATGGATGGTGTTGAAGATCGCAAGTCATATAACTCAGGGTTTCATGTAGTACAGTTCTCTGTTTCACGAAGGTAAGATATTATCAGCATCTTATGGTTAGAGCACAGGTGGCCAAGAGATGAATTCAGTGATCAGCTTAAGCCTTATGGCACAGGTGTTGATTGATTTTAACAGCAAGCTAAATCTTAAGCAGTATGTACACTACTCTAACCAGGCAGTACTTTTGACTTGAAGAAAACTTTCTTTTAGATTTCTCCTTAGATATGAAATAGCATTGCTTCCTTTTGGATATAGCATGGCTCTTTTATTATTTCTTTTCCAGTGAGGACAGTTTTCCAGATACTAATCTAAATATACAAGTTGGATGGCATGCTCTTCCCAGATCCTAGTTTTAGTCTGATTATAGTACTGATTGATATAAGCATGCATTAAAAAATTATCTCTCACATATTTTTGTTAGACTGCTTTTCCTTTTTTATTTTGGTTTACCCTATTTAAAAATCCCATGAGGGGCTGGGAAGGTGGCTCAGTGGTAGAGTGCTTGCCTTGCATGCTCGAGGCCCTGGGTTCAATTCCTCAGCACCACATAAGAAAAAAGCCGGAAGTGGCCCTTTGGCTCAAGTGGTAGAGTGCTAGCCTTGAGCTGAAGAGCTGAGGGACAGTGCCCAGGCCCAGAGTTCAGGCCCCACGACCGGACCAAAAAAATAAATAAAATAAACATAAAAATCCCATGAATGTGAAGACTTTTATTTTCCTTTCACAGAAGCTCTACTCTTGAGTAATGTCATTCCTACACTTTATTTCAGACTGCCACTGAAAGATTAAAGTTTACATATTAGAGCCATGCTGGAGTGAGTGAAAGCTCACAGCTCTAGTGGAAGTAATAATGCCCATCCAAGGAGGATTTCTCCCCCAAAGGGATGTTATTTGTCAGGTAGGGGCAAGATTGTCTATGATTCAGTGATAAAATGATAGAAACACCTTTCTCTGTCCTTGGAAGTTGTTTAGCATTTAGAGTAAGGGTGTCAAAGAGCAGGATAGTCATTACTATTTGCCCTCAGAAGTACATTTCATTAGAAGCAAAATGCGTTGGCTAGCTAAATGGGTGAGACTCCTCACTGCATCTGAACCTTGCAGTGAATTTATCATAGTTGGGTGTTGCAGTGACACATCATTAGAAGGACCTGATTGACACAGACTGTCAGAGAAGCAAAGGGGTTGTTTTGGGTATGCTAATGTTTGATACGTTTAATTACTTGTGGCCATCACTGTTTGACCTGTTATTTTCTATGTGTGCATATAATTAGACTCTTTCTGACTGCAGAGCTGCTAACCATGGTATTGTCCACGTAGCTGACTATATGATGAAGATACCTGCCATGTCTTTCAATGTCTCTTACCATTATGCATGTGTATTTGCTCGCTTGATGCCAGGCTAGTTCCAAGCATCAAAACCTTTTGAAAACCTATCAGATGGTCTCACGTTGCATACTTAAGAAAATGTCTTTTACTTAGTAGCATGCATTAGTTGTACAAGCTGGGGTTTCATTGTGACATTTCCATACATGTATAAATGCATCCTTGTCAACTCCCTTACCCTTTCTCCCCACTTCTTAAATACATAATATAGAATCTATTTTCATGTTTGATGTATTTTTAATCTTGTGAAAAATAATAAAAATAGCCAGGTGGGGTAGCACAGGCCTGTAATCCTGGCACTTTGGAAGCTAAGGCAGGAATATTCTGAGTTTCGGCTAGCCTGAGCTACGTAGTGAAATCTTGTCTCAAAAACATAAAGTCTGAAAGCAGTAGCTAACATTTATTGAGTCCTTACTATGTGTTAGATGCTTTCACATATTTTTCTTTATTTCTTACAATAACTAGCCACGGTACACAACAATAAGCCAGTTTTTTTTTTTTTTTTTGCCGGTCGTGGGGCCTGAACTCAGGGCCTGGGCGCTGTACCTCAGCTCTTCAGTTCAAGGATAGTGCTCTACCACTTGAGCCACAGTGCCACTTCCAGCTTTTTCTGCTTATGTGGTGCTGAGGAATCGAACCCAGGGCCTCATGCATGTAAGGCAAGCACTCTACCACTGAGCCACTTTCCCAGCCCAAATAAGCCAGTTTTAAAATGAGGAAACTGAAATAAAATAAAATGAGGAAACTGTGAATTAGAGAAGTTAAATAATTTGTCCCAAAGTTAATACAGCTAGTGTGAGCAAGAGTTAATATTAAACTCAAAGTTCTTAAATACCATGTGTCTGTATGCCCCCTATACTGTGTTACCTGATTTTGCTTTGAACTTCATAGCTCTGCATTTTTTCTTAACCCTTCTACTTTGAATCGCATCCTTAACACGTTCTAGACTTTACCAGTGGCAAATGTACTCCTTGCTCAGGTCCTGGATCAAATGCTATCCTTTTCTAAAAGTTTCCTTGTAGCCCCATTTGGAGGTAAATTTGCCTTCTTTGAACTCCCCCAACATTGTACTTCTCTTCCTATGTTTGTGTTGCCTTAATTGTGGTCATGACTATACATGTCTTAATTTACCAACTGGAAATTCTGGAGCCTAACACAGCCTAGAACACTGAAAGTACTAATACTTTTTAACTTGGTATTAACTTACCAGAACAGTGAAAATGAGAAAAATATGACAGTATCATAATGATTAGTTTTTTTTTTTATTTTATTTTTTTTGTCGGTCGTGGGGCTTGAACTCTGGGCCTGGGCGCTGTCCCTCAGCTCTTCAGCTCAAGGCAAGCGCTCTACTACTTGAGCTACAGCGCCACTTCCGGTTTTCTGGTGGTTTATTGGAGATAAGAGTCTCACGGTCTCTCCTGCCCGGGCTGGCTTTGAACTGTGATCTCAGATCTCAGCCTCCTGAGTAGCTAGGATTACAGGCGTGAGCCACCAGCGCCCGGCTATCGTAATGATTAGTATATTTGTGGTCATTCTTGTTATTATTTGGGAGTCTTGCTAAATTTTGTTAGTGGTATAACTAAATGTGACATATAATTTCTGATTTGGTGAAAAAGTTCTGTTTGAGAGAGGTAAAAAAGAACCTGCTGCTTTAATTTTTTTCACAGCAGGGAGTTAGATTAAGTTCTTTAGAATAGGTTCAGTGTAATATTGGAATTCCACAATTGGTTATCTTTGTGTATATTATCATCGGCACTTTATTTTTCAATCTTAATTGGTACCCATGGGTTTGCCAGATTGTGGAGAACAAGTTTACAGTGACCAGAATCTACCATTTTCTATTTAAAATGTTTGCATTTATTATTTGCTGTCATATTTTATGTGTGAATTGTCTCTTAATTTTGTTTTACTTTTCCTCTCAGAGAAACCCAGTTCTGTTTGCCAAGGGGGAGAGAATCTCATCTTTGATTAGCCATTCATATTTTGAAGAATGTTTTTACTTAAAATATGCCATTTCCCCCTTTTAAAACTTGTTCTTTAACATCTCATCTAAACAAAAAAGAACAATCAAAACTGTTAATGCTTATAAGGTTATAGAGGTTTCATTTAAACTGTCTCTTCTAAAGTGGAATATCCAACTATGTTTTTAGTATTTTTTTAAAATCTTAATTGTACACATATGTGTTTCCTGTTAATTTGTCTACTCTTGAAACTTCCTAAGATTCTTTTTTTTACATTTGTTTAGAGAGAAATCCTTTATTAACATCTTTAAAATGAACATCAGTTTATTTTCATCCTGTTACTGAAACTGCTAAGGAAGCAAAAGGTAGACAGGAGACAGTACTGGCTTTTGGCTACCGCACCAGTAAAATCCCCACAACTAATGAGCCTGATGCCTCTACTTTTGGCCCGGGAGCCATGTCTCTGAGCCTCAGAATTCTGGTTAAAGCAGAGGTTGCTGCATGTGGTGGCACATGCTTCAAATCCTAGCATTCAGGAGGCTGAGGCAGAAAGATGGAAAATTTGAGGCCAGCCTGGACCACATAGTGGAACTCTGTCAACACAGGCTTAAGTGGTAAAACCCTGAGTTCATATCTCAGTACCACCAAAACCAAAGAAAAGAAGGAGCACAGTTTCAGGAATAAAATGAGACAGTATGTTTTAAATGCTTTGCATGCTGTGTAGCAGAAGGTGTTCAGTAGATGAGAAGTCTCATAGCAATACTAAGTGGCCAAATGAGAAACTTGCCAAATAACCAGGGCTAGCATTTTGAGTTATATTCTTCTAGTCTTTTATATGTCATAATTTTATTAATGTATATTTCCTTTTCTTTCTATTACTATATTTTTCTTCCTTGTTTAACTTTTCCTTGTTTGTGTTTCACACAAAAGGCAGGAATGCTTGCATCTACTTATATCTCTTAGAAGTAAGACAAATGTGTTGCTGTTTCTGTCGTAGCCAAAACTTCCCATTTTTCTGTGTTTAGGAATAGGTAGGTAGACGAGATCTTCATATATATGTGTTTAAAAAAATAGGATCATATCACGAGATACTTCGTTGAAAATGAACTATACAACTTGAGGGTAGGTCTGGGAGGGAAAAACTGGGAGAGAGTGGGGGAAGAGTAACTCTGTCCAAAAAGAAATGTACTCTTTACCTGACTTGTGTAACCGTAATCCCTCTGTATATCACCTTTATAATAATAATTAAATTTTAAATAGGATTGTGTATGAATTCTAACAATGTCTACAATCAATAAAATATAGGGAGAAGAGTAAGTACTGGTATTAATTTTATTAGAGTAGCAGTAATTCTCCAGTTCCAGAATATTTAGAAGTATTAACTGAAAACACAATATCTGAATGAATGGTCCTAATGTCTGTAGACTTTTTTAATGCATGAGATTGTAGAAGTCTGAGTGTACATTGCATTGTTATATTGGCTGGTGGTGGTATAGTAGTATGTAAACTCATCTCTCTTTCTGTAGCCTGATTAGCAAGCATGGCTAATGTTCTGTCTTTTTCCCTTTTTCTTTTAGATCTACACACAATGAGCTGGAAAAGAATCGGTGAGTCAGTAATAAGGTGCCACTTTGGCTAGGTTTAAAATGCAAACTCACCATTTTAATGTAAAAAATAATGTAATAGTGCAAATGTAGTCATAATTTTTTAAATGCTTGGCTTAATGATCCTAATATGTTTGTGTGTATATTCTCCACAAAAAAAATGATTTAGAAAGTAGGCTTTTGTTTGTTTATTGTGATGCTCCTGGGGCTTGAACTCAGGTCCTAGGCACTGTCCCTGAGCTTTTCTGCTCAAAGCTAGTACTCTCCCACTTGGGTCACAGCTCTGCTTCTGGCTTCTTTGGTGCTTAATTTGAGATAAGAGTCACATGGACTTTCCTGCCAAGGCTGGCTTTGAACCATGATCCTCAGATCTCAGCCTCCAGAATAGCTAGGATTACAGGCATGAGGCACTGGCACCCAGCATAAACTATCAAAGCTAGAAGAAGTAAAGAGGTTTTTAAGCTCATCTCAATGTTGACCTTATGGGTAGCCTCCTTTATTTCTGTCTTTGAAAAAATATTTATGATAGGCTCATAGCTTAAATATGGTCTTGATGAAGGTTTAGGTTCTAAAATATTTCATAAAGATAACAAATTGGAATGCATTGAGTCTTGCTTTGTAGTTTGTCCATTCATTCATGTATTCAATAAATACCTATCAAGCACCAACCATAATGTCGTTGCCAGGCAAGTAGAAGGCTCTACATAGGAAATATAAGAATGTTTAGAACATTTTTGGCCCTTATGGAACTCAAAGCTTTGTGGAAAGAGACAAGTGGTTAATATGATACTGTATAATATGGTAAGAATGGTAATGGCAAAGCAGAGAGTACTTACTGGAGGATACTGAAAGATGGTCACTTAGTTCCCCTTTGAGGAAGGCCTTAGAAGCCCTGTAGAGGATGGTAAGGGAACATTGTATACTAAGGAAATGACAAGACATTCAGTATGAGTATCAAGGATTACAGCATGAAGTAAGCTAGACAAGATGTTGAAGAGTCTGTTTCACACTGTGTTGCAGATGACAAGACTCTTGTCCTGTGAGGGGTAGATAGCAGGTAGTCCTTTAAAAATGGGTTGTTACATGATCATATTTGGGAAGGTTACTTAGGCTTCTAAGGGGTTGGTCAGGTGAGGGATACCAGCATCCTTTTGAATATTGCAATAATTCAGGAAAGAGACAATGGCAGCCATAGATATAGAAACATTAAATAAAGTGGAAAGAATAGAAATTAATGATTAGATGATTTACCATCTACAGAGAATTGGAAAATAAGTAAAGATTACGTTTGATAGAAAATACAAGAATTCTAGAGTAAAAATATTCTCATTTATCGAGATTCAACTAATCATCAGTTGGAATTGTCTACAGCAGCCCTCCCTCCCACTGTTGCTGTTTTGGGTTTTTGTTTTTTTTGTTTTTGGTGGTGGTGGTACTACAGATTGAACTCAGGTCTCTTGCTTACTAGGCTAGTGCTCTACCATTTGAGACTTACCATCAACCCTGCTCATTTTTGTTGGTTATTTTGGATTCTAACAGACATTTTTGCCCAGCTTGGCATCAGACTACTAGCCTCCAAATCTCAGCCTCCTGAGGAGTGAGGATTACAGGTGTGAACCATCAGTTCCTGGATTGTCAGCCACTCTTGACAAACAGGAAATCATGATTTGCAATTAGAACAGATCTTACAGATGGACTGGCCTAAGTGCCTTGTTACTGGGGAGTATAGACGTCATACCTTCCTGAAGAGACTTAGCATATCCCTTCAGGAAGACTTCGTAGTTTTTGCTACTTTGTTAGCACAATGTTCTGTTCACTTCTCCCATTGTGAGAGTGGTTGTGGTTATCTTATCTGCCAAATGACTGTGACTGCATTGGAGGCAAAGATTTTTATTTTGTTCATTGTATTTTCAGTGTCCAGCATTTATTGCATATATGCTGATGGCCTACTGTTTTTGTCTGTTTTAGGATTTTTGTTGTTATTATTATTAGCAATCCTGGGGTTTGAACTCAGGGCCTTGCATTTGTTAGGTAGGCATTCTCCCGAGACAAGCCTGCAACCTGTAGATGGTGGCTTTAATTTTGAGTGAAGGCTGAAGTTGGAGTTCAAACTTGAGTGATGTGTTAGGGGCATAACAGTTTATTCAGTAGGGAATCTTCCATTTAAAAAAAAAGTCTTAGACCTGGCACAGTAGCCAATGCCTATAATCTCAGCTATTTGAAAGGCAGAGATCAGGAAGATGGAGGTTTGAGGCCAGCCCAGGCAAAAAGCTAGTGAGATCCTGTATCAACCAATAAGTCAGACTACATAGGGGAGTTGTAGTTAAGAGGAGCTTGGTCTAAGGCTAGCTCTAGCAAAGCATGAGGACCTTACCTGAAAATAATTAAAGCAAAATGACTCAAATGGTAGCCTGCATAACAAGTGTAAAACCCTGAGTTCAACCTCAGTACCACCACTACCCAAAAACATCCCAAAACAAAAACCTTTTTCCTACCTTATGTTTATGTTTTTGGTATATTAAAGCTATAGATAGCTTAAAGGAAGTATTTGGTTGGTTGTGACAAAAAATGAATAATAGTTCTGAAGAGCTGGGCTGGATATGGTACATAGCACAGAGAAGGTAGATAGGCTTTGTTTGTCTAAGGAGGTTTGTTCCCAAGGAGTCTTGTCTGCCTCACTCATTTATGGAGAAACAACAGTTTGCCCAAGGGACTCCAGCATATAAAACATCAACAACATGGACTGGATGGGTGACTTGAAGAGGCATCTTCCTTTTATAGGGTTAACTGAATGGAAGAAAGAGCTGGATGTTGGTGGCTCATTCAGGAGGCTGAGATCTGAGGATTGCAGTTCAAAGCCAGCCTGGGTAGGAAAGACTGTAAGGCTCTTAACTCCAGTTAAAAAACAAAATCCTGGAAGTGGAGCTGTAGCTTAGTGGTAGAGCTCTAGTTTTGAGCACAACAGCTCAAGGACAGCATCTCGGCCCTGAGTTCAAGCTCTAGAACAGACACAGGCACACTCAGAGAGACAGACAGACAGACACACACACATATGAGAGACCATGCCAGGTGTTCTAGAGCTGGGTTGTTTTGCTCAAGCAACTAATCTATGTACATTATGTAACTAAAGCCCAGTGCACATTGATATTTTATACAGTTTGCACCTATGTTCAGATTATGCCCTATAATCATGCTGCATCCACATGTTTTGCAACTTTCAGCCTCTTGGCTTCAAGTTTATGAGGAACGTGGCAGAAAACATGTTATACTCACACTGAATTTTAAGTAAATCATTCTTGAAGTAATTCATAATTCCTGAAAATTTGCCACTCATGTATCTTACATTTTTGCCGTAAGATACTTTTTTCCCTTTTAGTTGGGTTCTAAAATTTTGTATGCAAATCTCTCTTGAGTTCATGATTTCTTTTTTCTTTCTTTCTCTTTTTTTTCCCCCTAAGGTAAATGTAGTAAGAATAGGAGATTTTAAGTTATCAGCAAATGGCAGAGTCATTCCAGATGGCTCTTTTAACTAAAACCCTAAGATGGCTGAAGGTCTGGACTGGCTATGAAGAAGCAATAAGTACTAAACATTGATGTTCTGACTCTCAAAATCACAGCAAAGCCTGGTGGTGGAGATTTTGTGTCTGAGATACCCTGAGTACTTCATTTTAACCTACAATTAACTCCAGGATGTCTACAGCTTGTTAATGAGCTATTGGTAGTTTCAGAACACAGAAATTTAGATTCTTTTTTGCATAGCTTCTGGGTTCTGGTTTCTTCCTGAAACCATGTTGGTTATGCTGGGCCTGATCTACATGGTTCAGAGCATTTGTTTCCTGTGTGGTAGCCCTATCCCACAGCAGGTCATAGCAGGCCCACAAGGTAGAGGAAAAGCAGAATACCTTTGGATTCCTCAGGAACCTATATGAATTATCTAGTGGTAAACATAATGAGTCTTAGAGATTGAAGAATTAACAATTCACTTTGTCCATTAGCTTCTCCTATGAATTTGGTTCTTTGCCGGAGAAGAAACTATTTAATACAGATTTTAGATCGCTTCATTGCCTTTTCATTTTCTTAATTCAAATTACTGATGATGTTTTCAACAGTCAACAACTTTAACAGGACTTTAATGGTCAAGAACCTTAGTGCTGACTGCAGGAGAGGCCATTCAGCCTTAATTGCTGTCATTCCATTGAAACAAAAGGCTTACCCTTATTACAAGTTTGGCAAAGCTCGAAAGGCTACATGAGGACACTGGACTAATAACGCCTTCCTAGGCAGAGCAGAAGTGACTGAGCAGTGTGATAAGAGAATGATGTCCAATGAGTAGCAATGCATACTCTTCTTGTAGAAGGATCTTCATATACCTTAGAAGGAAAGATGACCCTGTTTATAGGATAAGCCTTCACTTTTTGCAGGGGCTAGAATCCTCCTATTTACACTTCTGCTAGCAGTAGGTCTGATAAGCACATGCCACCATAACCAGTTTGTTCTTTTGAGATGGGGGTCTTACGAACTTATTTTTTGCTTCAGCTGGCTTGGAACTGTAGACCTCCCAGTCTTAACCTCGGCATAGCTAGAATGTCAGGTGCATCCTTCCTCCTGCTCTCTCTCCTTTACTCCCTACCTCTTCCTTTCCACTTTGGGTCCTCCTCCTCCTCCTCCTCCTCCTCCTTCTCCTTCTGTTCCTTCTCTTCTCTTTTCTCCCTTCCCCCCTTCCTTTCATTTCCCCTCTCCTCTCCCTTCCCTTCACCTCCCCTCATCTTCCTTCTCTCCCTCTTTGGAACTGGAGATTGAAGTCAAGTCCTCTGCCACTTGAAACATGTCCCCAGCCTTTTAGCTTTTTAGTTTTTCATCTAGGATCTGGCACTCATTTCTTTGAACTGGCTTTGAGCATTAATGTTAGCTGAATTACAGATATGTGCCACCATACCCAGGTTATTTCTGCTTTTGAGATAAGAGTCATGCTTGGTTGGCCTCAAACTGGAAACCTCCTGGAG